CGGCTTGCCAGGCCAATAAGGGGCGGAGTCGGCTGCAGGCCTGCCCGGAGAGTCTTTGGGATTCACCCCAAGGGTCCAAAGGACCCAAGAATCAGGTACTTAGGTTCGGATAGTAGTTATGTAGGTGACTATTTGGGAGACTATATGACTATATGAATGATTATTAGGTACTTGGACCCTTAGGGTCAGGGCTACCTGCAGACGTCATGGGGTTCTTGGCATTCAGGCTTTAGGGAAGAGGGGGTGCGAACTTCGTGTTGTCAGTGGGGAGGGTTGTAGCTTTTGTGATTGTGGTGCATGGGAATGTCGTGCAGGCCAGAGTACTGTAGGACTATCCTAGTCATCCGCAGCCTGCTCATAATATCATGACAGCTTGAAAAGCTCATGCTACTGTCGTCGAAGGCGCCGAAATGGGATTTGGTCTGGCATGCTGCGATTTTTTCGGAACTATCAAAAACTCATGGCAAAACTAACGGGGTAGTTGCTTGTCTCATGCTCAAAATCCCACCTACTCTCGGATCCCTAAACCCCCAAAATCCTAAACCGTAAACCCTAAACCCTGAACCCCAAACCCCTAAACCCTAAACCCCTAAACCCCTAAACCCCTAACCCCTAAACCCTAAACCCTAAACCCAACAAAATCCGAAGCTCCAAAGCCCAAAATTTTGTCGGAGCACCTCCACGCAGCCGCAAGGGCGCTGGGGCGCTCCTTGCTGGGTCCATCTCTTGCACCTGAGGGGCTTGTGTATGATTTCGGGGCTTATTGGTTTAGGAGTTTAGGGTTTAGGTTAGGGTTGAGGGGTTTATTGGAGGGTTTAGGGTAGGGGTAAGGTTTAGGTTTGGGGTGGATGAGTCTGGGCGGGACGCGGAGAACTCGCTTTGAGAAGCCTTGTTATGGCACATAGTTGGCACAAGGCTAGCACAAAACGCTTCGAAGCTCAGCCATTGAAATGTCAACATGTAGTGCCAAAGCGACACGAATTTCAGAGAACCACAAATTCTGTGCCGGCTGAAACAATCCTGGGGTGCAAGCCACCGCCAGGAGCTGTTTCCGAGGGATCGACCATTCCTGGCCAGGTTTCGGAAAAGACATGCCTAAACCCTAAACCCTAAACCCCGAACCCTGAACCCTAAACCCTGAACCCTAAACCCCTGAACCCTGAACCCTAAGCTTCTGTTGCAACATGGGTTCTAAACGTGTCCTTGAGTTGATACTTGCTCCGGAAGCCGTCAGTTCTGCCATGGTCGAGGTTGACAACTGTAAACCCGAAACCCTTCAGTCTCTCAAGAAAATGGACTGTGAAGGCTACAGTAAGATCGAGGCCTAAATAACTATTTTGGTGGGGGGGGGGGGTCCTTTTTAGAAATATAGTATACTGGGCCCCAAAACCCTATTCTAATTATTGAGGCCCCTACAGTATGTTTTCTGTAGCCACAAACGCTGAGAGCAGAAAACGAGAGTCCCTGGCAGTATCGGTGCCTTCACAATACAACAGCTATGTAGGGAGACTAGGGATAACCCTAAACCCTAAACCCTAAACCCTAAACCCCACTTGTAGGGAGACTAGGGACACTACCAATAAGAACCTCGAGCTCCATATCCTGAACCTTTTTTTGCCGACTCCATTGCTAGTTCTGGCCCGAAAGCTTGTGAACAACCGCCCTAAGGTCACTGTTTCCTTGGAGGTCCGGGATGAGGGGCTTGTTGTCTTACTATAGAGATTTGGGGGCTTGGGGCTTGCAGGTATTCTTGGGGAGCTGCCAATTCCGAAGTGCTGCTGCTGGAGCTATGAGGCTATGAGAAGACACCTGCGTCTGTGAGGGCTACGTGGGTGAAAAAGGGGTACTATAATGCTTACACGAAGACTGCCTGAAATCTCCCAGCCATTCTACATATGTTTTCATGCACGGGCACCTCGCCCATTGGCTTTTCCAGTGCGGTCCTGGAGATGCATTTGCAACAAAAACCGTGGATGCCATCACATGTCTAATACAGGGGCCTTAATAATTAGAATAGGGTTGTAAGGTGTATTATACTATAATGATAGTCCCCAAAATGGTATTGGTAATTATTTAGGCCCCTACATTGGGTCGTAGGACAATCCCCTTTAGCATACCTATATGGAGGCGATGGATAAAAAGGGGATGAACCCTCTGCGGGGATACTGCTACACCTACCTGACAGCAGGCTGCCCGTCGGGTTGCAGTGCTTTCCCTGATCCAAAACTGTTTTGGGGCATATTATGCCATTTAGGGTTTAGGGGTTTAGTTTTTAGGGTTTAGGGGTTTAGGGAAAGCCCTTTTCGGTCCTGATGTCGGAGAGAAGGGCCTGCCGCGGCAGCTATTCACGGCAACAGCGTCGCTGGATATCAGTCATAAACGGATACTATGAGTGGATCGGTGACATGTCGTTTTGTAAGCGATGCCAGCTACAAAAGCAATCGCATCGTGTGACCTCTTAACCTCAAAGCCACGTTCTCCTGATGAACAGCAGTTGTAGTAGTCGCTGCCGATGTAGTGGTACTTGTAGTGGCAGTGGCAGTGTAGTAGGAGGAATAGTAGCAACAGCAGCAGTAGCGGCAGTGGCAGCAGCAAACCTGCTTGGACGGAAGCCTCAATGCTTACTGCCTGAACCTTGACAGAACCCAGAGAACCCAATACCCCTTAACTAAGGAATAGACCTTAAATCATAATATTAAAAGCCCCTCTAATTTAAGGTCTATTGCTTAATTAAGGGGTATTGGGTTCTCTGGGAACTGGCCTCGAGGACAGGCCGCGCAGAAGTGGACTTCGTGCCATCCTGACAGGAAGGCTGCATGGTAAATGGGCAGTTCTCCAAATTAGGGTCCCTTTTTGGGTCCCTAATATAGTACGGCACCTTGACAGAAAGGACCCTACAAGGGACCCTACTTTAGAGAACTATCCCGCATGGCAACTCCAAGCTTTGGCTTGTCGGAGATCCCAGAGAACCCAATACCCCTTAATTAAGCAATAGACCTTAAATTATCGGGGCCCTTAATATTGGGATTTAAGGTATGTTCCTGAATTAAGGGGTATTGGGCTCTCTGGGATGATCTTCCCATGATCTGGGAGGGGGCCTCCACGGCTTTCTTGGCAAGCCCCAGGGCCACCTGAAAGGACAGGCACAGGCTTAAGGTTTAGGGTTTAGAGTATGGGTTAGGGTTTAGGGTTTAGGGTTTAGGGTTTAGGGTTTAGGGTTTAGGGTTTAGGGTTTAGAGTATGGGTTAGGGTTCAGAATAGTATCTGTAGGCCTTAGAAAGGACAGAGTAACTGAGAGGCGAAGAGCAACACAGAGGGATCACAGGTAAACCAAACCGAGTCAGAAGAAGTAAGCATGTCCAACTTGTCGTCGTTCTAGTGTTTTTGGATCGGGCTCGACGGCGTTTTACCTATAGTCTGCATTGTAGATCTTTTTTTTTGTGGCTAGCCAAATTTATATTATGTGATCCTAACCTTAAAATGGGTGAATCAAAACATGAACTACCATGGAGACTAAAAGTAAGCCCTAAACCCTAAACCCCCCCTGAACCCTATAGAGATCCGTATAGATCCCTTTAAGGAACCCATTTTTCGAACAACAAAAAGAAACTACAATGAAGACCGTAGGTAAGCCCTAAACCCTAAACCCTATAAAGAAACCCTTATAGATCCCTTGAAGGAGCCCCTTGGAACCAACAAAAAGGAGACTGCAGGTAGGGTCAAACAAAAAACAATCATTGGACACTCTGTCGCTAAACCCTATAGAAACCCTTAAAGATCCCTTTAAGGAACCTCTTTTGAACCAACAAAAGTAGGGTCAGAAAAAAGAAATCATTGGGACACTCTGTCTGCCAATCGAGGCCACAGTGCCTTTCAGTCCCTTTGGGCTTCAGCTTACAGTCCTGTCAGGCCCCGTGCTTAACATAGGGGCCTTCGTAGTTATAACACTTAGAATAAGAGGGTATATACTATAATAATAACAATAGTAATAATAATAATAATAATAAGGTTGCCTTAATAATTAGAATAGGGGTGTATATTATACTATAGTTATGATAAGGAAGCCACAGAACAGTATTGGCAGCACGCCAGCTCCGGCAACGGCATGGAAGGACCAAACCAGCCAAGGCACTCGAAAGCCTAACGCCCAAGCCCAGACGCTACCCTAAACCCTAAACCCTAACGGTGCCGGTTTAGAGTTTAGGGCTTAGGGTTTAGGGGTTTAGGCGTTTGGGGTTTAGGGCTTAGGGTTTAGGGTTCGGCGTCGCACCCTCAAACCCACGGTGCCGCCAAAGCTTCCCCCCTAAACCCTAAACCCTAAACCCCTAAACCCTAAACCCTAAACCCTAAACCTACAAGACCCGTAGTGTACCTTCAATTTAGAGCCGATTTAGGGTTTTCGGGTTTAGAGTTCAGGGCGTTATATCTTTA